AACAACAACAACTAATATATCATTTGATTTCTTGACTGCTGCTTCCATGGACCTTGATTGCAGATCCAATAAGATGAAATGCTTGACAACTTCAATCTTTGCTCCAATTTATCATGATGTTGTATATTTGTCCAGTTATGTGGATTGTAGTTTTCTTTATGCTGAGGGGTAATCCACACTTAAAGATGTAGTCTTTGTTCTTCATTAGTAAATGCTTCAAGTCTTCTTCACTTTCAGCATGCAAAGTTGTGTCATCTGCATATCACAGGATGCTAATAAATCTTCTTCCAATCCTGATTCCCTGTTCTTCATATAGTCTAGTTTCTTGGATTATTTGCCCAGCATGCAATTTTAATAAGTATGGTGAAAGGATACAACCCTGGTACATACATTTTCTGATATTAAATCATGCAGTATCCCCTTGTTCTATCTGAACGACTGCCCCTGGTCTATGTGTAGTTCCTCTCAAGCACAATTAAGTGTTCTGGAATTACCATTCTTTGCAATATTACCCACAATTTGTTATGATCCACACAGTCAAATGCACAGCTGATAAAACACAGGTAAACATCTTTCTGGTATTATCTGCTTTCAGCCAATTTCCATCTGACATCTGCAATCTATCCTTTGTTACATCATATCTTCTTCTGAATCTGGCTAGAATTTCTGTCAGTTTCCTGTCTATTTACTGCTGCAGTCATTTTTAAATTATTTTCAGAAAATTTTTTTTCAAGACCAATGACTTATTCATTAATAAATATCTTTTTTTAACAACATAAACCAAGACTCTACACGTGGACCTTGCCAAATGAATTACACAGCAGTCAAATCAACTACATCTGTGGAAAGAGAAGATAAAGCAGTTCAATATCATCAGTTAAAATAAGGCCCGGGGCCACCCGTAGAACAGTCATCAATTGCTCATAGGCAAGTTCAAGTTGAAGCTGAAAAAAATTTTAAAAAGTCCTTGAGAGCCAAAATATGATTTTGAGTATATGTCACCTGAATTTAGTGACTATCTGAAGAACAGGTTTGACACATAGAATACCAATGACCAAAGGGCAGACGAGTTGTGGAATGACATCAAGGACATCATATATTAAGAAAGCAAAAGGTCATTAAAAAGACAGAAAAGAAAGAAAAGATCAAAATGGGTATCAAAAGATACTCTGAAACTTTCTCTTGAATGGAGCTAAATCAAATGGAAGATATGATGAAGTGAAAGAGCTGAACAGGAAACTTCAAAGGCCAGCTTAAGAAGATAAAGTATTAAAACAAAATGTGCAAAGACCCGAAGTTAGAAAACCAAAAGGGAAGAACATTCTCTGCATTTCTCATGCTGAGAGACAGAAAGAAAAATTTCAGTCCTTTAGTAGCAATGTTAAAGGAGCTCTGGTGGTGCGATGCCTAAGGCATTTGACTGCTAACCAAAAGGTGGGTGGTTCAAACCCACCAGCCACTCCAGAAGGAAGACTGGGCAACCTACTTCTTTAAAAATTTACTGCTTTGGAAACCCAATGGGGTTAGGGAGCCATTATGAGTCTGCTTTGACCCACTGGCAGTCCATGTTTTTCTTTTTCTTTTCTTTTCTTTTTTTTTTTTTTTTTTTTGTGGCAATATTGAAGAATTCAATGGACAATGATGCAGGAAGCATTAAAAGAAGATGGACAGAATATATAGAGTCACTTTGTCAAAAAGAATTAGTCGACATTCCACCATTTCAGGAGGTGTCATATGATCAAGAACCAATGGTATTGAGGAAGAAGTCCAATGTGCACTGAACAACTGGTGAAAACAAGGCTTTAGGAGTTGACAGAATACCCAGTGAGATGTTTGGACAAATGGGTGCAACACTGGAGCCCTCATCTATTTATGCCAAGAAATTTGGAAGACTTGGCCAGCCTACTGGAAGAGATCCCTACTTATCCCCATTTCAAAGAAAGGGATCTAACAGAATGCTATACAAATAGGTGTCACAAATAAATACAAATATAAATAAGGCCAAATAAGACAAAGAAGCTGCCTATCATGAGTATATATACTAGCAGGCAAGACAGAGATGTACATAGGCAAATATATTAAGTGTTTTCATACTGATAAACATAAAGATCAGAAGCAGCACCAAGGAAGTAATTATCAGAAAATGGTACTCCATTCTACCACTTCTGTCTTTCTTTTTCCTTCTGATTTCTCTTTTTTCTCATCTCTTTCTGCCTCTCATCCATTATTTCCACAAATATCCAAAGCTATAAATCAATGCAACTTTATAGATAACATCATCTGGAAAAAGAGTCACAGGTGCCTAGGGCAGAGTTCTGAGAATTATATAATATGAAGGAACATTACAGTCACACTCTTCTCTTTTCTCACACCAAATTATAAATACTAATGTTGCTATGAATTGGTGTAAGCAAGATAATGGTTTAAGTCTTACCGTCTTATTTAAATTTAGTACTATATTGTTCTAAACTATATTGTGGGCAAAAATCTTGCCAAGAAAGTTGTGTAATTGAGCTGACAGAAGAAACCATGTTGCATTATATTGTGGAAACTCTCTTTCAGTGAATGTTGTTGTTGTTATGTGCAGTTGAGTTGACCCTGACTCCGAGGTGGTATCACTATGGAATTAGATTGCCCAACCTTCTTTCCAAGGAGTGGCTGGTAGGTTTGAACCGCCAGCCTTCTGGTTAGCAGTTGAGTGCCTTAGGCGCTATGCTACCAGAGCACCTTTTCAGTGAATAGAAGTAGCATATATAAGGAATTCCATAAGCATAGTGCCTACTTGGCATTTAATTTACATCATTTTGTAAAAAGCCCATGAGGCAGTTATTATCAATCTTATTTTACATACGTAAATGAAACTCATAGAGATTAAGTAATATATCCAGATACATAGCTTATAAATAGAAAGAAACTGAGTTTTAAACTTCATTTGTCTGAAAACAAAACCCTGACACTGGCAGGCATAGATTTCTTACACAATGTAGATAAGAGAGTCGAGGCATTTTTTTTCTTTTTGCCTCCCCTAGATTTTCTTTCCACCATTCTTGCCTACATTCCTTTGTTTACCTATACCTTTTGTCTGGAATATTTTTCATAATTGGTGAATAAATCAAGACCCACAACCTTCTTTTTAGATTTGAAAATCATCTTATTTTTCCATCCATTACAGCACTTGTCATAGTCTGCCTTCTATGAGTATTACTTACACATGTGATTATCCCTTCTACTTGACTATGAACGCTTGGAGGAAGCAGGCTATATGGTAGGAAGAATTCTCTTTGGAGTCAAGCAGACCTCACCAAAAATCACAGTTCCAGCACTTACTGATCACAAGAAGTCACAACGTCTCTAATCATTAGTGCGTTGTCTGCCAGAATTCATGGTAAGGATTAAATGATGCCTTGTATTTAATGTGTCTGGAACAATACCCTGTTTATAGCCAGCACTTAAATTCTGAAATGTAAGCTCCCTGATGCTGATATCTACCTCTCACCCCTAACACTAATCAGTGAAAAGGAGGTCACATTTATTGAGTATAGTGAAAATGTAGGAAGTCAACTACACTAGGGATTATAGAAAGCTGATAGTGCTTATAAGGAAGGAGAAAAATCTACATTCTAAGCCCACTGCCTAATTAAAGGCATATGTCTAATTTAAGCCAGGCTTGATATATTGACAATATTTTCTAAAAGAAAGAAAAGGATTTGGCTCTATAAAGTTGAGGAAAATCTCCTTCTCTAGTTATATTTCATTTCAGCATATTTATCTCTGAGCTAATAAGAGCTAGAGAGCTCATGATTAAGTTTTATATTCACATTTCTTTCTGAACAACAACAAAAAATAGGCATATATAAATCTGCTATACTAAAGTGCCATGAATGTCTCTATAAGAATGTCAAATATTTTCCCACACCTGAGCACGTAATACTATTTGTAAGTCAGCCTGGTGGTATCTCAGTATTGAGTTCATCACCTTGGGCGAAATAACACAGAGAATCAATCATTTCCCAAACCATAAATTAAACACTTGTAAGGGCTTTATTAACTCTACTCACAAATTTCATATAAAATATATTATACATGGATGATTTTATTTGCCTGATATGTGAATTTTATATGTTTATTATATCTGAACTTTTCTGAAAAAATACAATGTCATTTGGTCCTTGCTTTACACATATTTTCTAGGTAAAATAGAGGGAGTTCCTTTTCGCAAATGTATTACATGAGAGACACAAGCTCAAAGTGAACACAGATAATTGGCCTGTATAGAACTTTTCCTCAGTCAGGCAGCTACCTTCACTGACCCTCCAAAATGCATCTCATTTCTCAATGTTAGATTCAATTTCTCCAGAGGGTTGCTTGTGTATATAAGGGTCCTGCCCCCCTTTTTTGAACATTTTGTGTTTTCTGAGGTTGTGACTCTATCCCAGATTAATTTTCTCTTCTTATGATGGAACAAAGCTCACTAAAAGCCTAAGCCAATATTACAAGTTGTTATATGATTGTTCAGGGGCAGAATGATACTCAGTTCCACTAAGGGCCAGCTTTTCAATGTCAAGAGTCTAGAGAGTTTGTTAAAATTAGACGTATCCTAGTAGAGAACAGTGTGGCCAATTTGCTACCATCATTTGGGAAGAAAAGCATTGCTGTTTGTTGCTGATAAGGTTTATAAGAGTAACATAATTTCAGAGAAGATTATTTAGATCGGTAAAGCTTGCATTCAAACATCAGCCTTTAGAGTCCTCTCTTTTCATAAACTTTAGTGATGCATGTTGTATTTTAAGAAAATGAGTTGTTTGCATTTGGAAACTATATACTCAGTCAAGAAGAAATAACTTTGCATTCCAAGGCTTAGAAGATAACTGATTATGTCTGAGGTTATATAGGTGATTATTATTATTTTTTGTCTTTAAAAGAGGTACATCTAAAAACAGGATGAATAATGAAGACACTTTAGGGTTACATATACAATGAAATAACTCTGACAACTTTACCCAAATATATGCCTCAGTTCTGTAAGTTCCTTTTCCTTGATGTGTAGGTCATCATCTAATCTTTCTATTATCATAACATAAGATTCACTGACTTTTTTCTTCCATTCATCTGCCAAAGAAGAATAAATGGAATTTATTCATAGCAGAGTTTTGCAAGATGTAGACACAGATCATAACATTCAAGTAATCAAAAGTCTGCCTTTTATTTTGAACTCTACAATACTTAAATTACTGATTGTGAGTATAAAATGTAAATATTTATATTTAAAATGCTATCATATTGAAATGTAGTAATTAAGAACCCATTTGATGCTGGATAATATATTTACATAGAAGAATATATTTGGCTTATTTCATTTTATTTTGTTGATTTTTAATTATAGCAATCTTTAGTGGCTAGACAGAGTTTTTAATGTTTAAATACTAGATACTTAGGATACAATTCTAAGATCTTTATATTCAGATGTATTAAAAAAAATTAACACTATACCAAGAGACAAATATAATTTTTTTAAAAAATAGTTTTCTGTAGTTCTGTCAGAAAAAAAAAAAAAAGAACTTAGATCAGGTAATCTTCACAGCACTTTCACATAATATGCTGTCTTATCCTGTGTGTAAAAATTAAGACATATACCAAAAAAAGTTAGCTATCTGTAACTGTAATTGAATCATATTGCATTTAAAGAAATAAGAATAATTACCAGTACAAGTTTGAGTAGGTCTAGATTTATAATTCCCCATTTGGTAGAAGTTTCTTCTTCCCCTTGTCCTCTCTTCAGGTTACAGAATTTCATGTACAAGTGTAGTGACAGTCCAGTTGAAAAATTCTTTGATAGTTGGGCTAAAAATAAGCTGAGTGCCAAATGGAATGTCATGCAACAATGACAAAGAACAAGAGTGTGTGCTTTCAAGGGTAAAATCATAAAGGGAACTAATCAGTCTCTTTAAAAGGGATGTATCAAAAATAAGTAGTAAATGTTTCAATAGGATTATTTGCTTCCATCAATTGATCACCTACTCATTCATACCTTCATGAGTCATTTCTTTAATAGATAAATGTAGAAATGGGTTCAGTTACATCTGAGGTTCATAAAAGAACTATACAAGCTACCTAGATCTTTCAGGAGCCAATGTAACAGAAGATGGAAAAGAGTAACTGTTGGTAGAATTTGTCTATACAAATAGTGGAAACCTACATCATATAGAGTGCTACCAATAGAAATAATGTAAATTTTCCCTACTTAATGACTACAAATTTATGTTTATGAGAAGATATTCTCAATATATAACAAGGATTTCTTTAGACCATTGTGCTTATTTTTGCCATAAGGATCACAGACAAGAATCCAAGACAATAAGTTTTATAAATACAAATTCATAAAACAATAATGACCAGAACAGTAAGAAAAATAAGAATTAAGATTATGTGATTGCTGTGTGTCAGACACTATTCTAAGTGCTTTATATACATTTTGTCATTTGTGATTTATACAGACCTGAAAGGTAGATATTATCCCCAGGTCCTAGATGAGAAATTCAGACTTGCTAGTAGGTGGCAGAATTTAGAATCAATTCCAGGCATACATGACTCTAAAGTCCAAGCAGATGTTATTTTTCTGCCCATAATTCCTCTGGCACTCACATTCCATTTACTTCATGGGACATTTCTTTTTATATATGCAATTTAATTTGATCCACTGAACAATGGGATAATATGGAAATTCCAGAAAGAAATGTTATCTGACTTTTAACTTTATATTTCCTTTGGATGATCTTACTATCCCTAAAACATAAATTTCAGCCTTCAAATTCATCTCCAGAGGCTATAGTTTTAATATAACATATATATTTCATATTTATATGTTGTTCTCGGAAGGAAGGTTGGGCAATCCTACTTCCGTAGTGATACTGCCTCGGAAACCCAAGGAGGGGTCGCTATGAGTCAGGGCTGACTCGACGGCACATAACAACAACAACAACATGTTGTTCAAAAACTGTCTTCTTTTTGAAGCAAATGCTCAGTTGAATTCATAGTCCTTATACATTTTTCTCAACAAAAATAACCTTAAGTGTCAGATGGAGGACTTCCATACTGATTTGACATAGTTGGAGAAGTAGGTATCTTGTTTCATTGTCATCTCTGTCCTCCCCTGGAATTTGGATGATATAGTTCTTATTATATGCTCTTTATCACTACATGTTGCCATGACTGTTGATGTCTGCCATCCTTTGGGTGCCTCTTGTTACATGGTCCACGCATTCTGCATTCTCCTTGTTTGAAAGTCAGACACCTTCAGTCACATCTGCATGCCCATTGGCCTAGGTACCTGACTTCCTCTGTGCTTCTCTGAGCTGAAGACCACACTAGGTAACAGTCTTCTCTAAGAGGCTTACAGTTTCCCTGGGAGCTTTGATGGCATAATGTCTAAGGGATGTGACTGAAGGTTGGTGGTTCAAACCCATGAGCCACTCCACAGAAGGAAGACTGGGCAATCTACTTCCTTAAATATTAACCACCTTGGAAACCCAAAGGGGATTGCTCTGAAGCAGAATCAACTTAAGGGCAGTGAGTTTGGGTTTTGGTTTTGTTATACCCTGAGAAGTAATACACAAATTCTCTCTTCTCTCAGATTTCAGTAAAAGAAGCTGTGATTTCTAAACCTTGAACTCTAGAGGAACAGGGAGAGGAGGCAAGGCTTTAAGCCTTCTTCAAGACATTTAATAGGTCTGTTTTTCATGATCTCCTTTCTTACTTCTCTCTAAGGGGGAAAAGATCCTCTGTGTGTGTGTGTGTGTGTGTGTATCTCTTCAACCATTAAAGAAAAACTGGCTCCTATAATATCTTGCAAGGAGCTATGGCAGTGCAGTGGTTAAAACACTCAGCTGCTAACCAAAATTCAACAGGTCAAACCCATCAGCCATTCTGCAGGAGAGAGATTACCGTACTCTGCTTCCATAAAGGTTACAGCCTTGGAAACCCTATGGGACAGTTCTACTCTGTCCTGTAGGGTTGTTATGAGTCAGAAACAACTTGATATCAGTGAGTTTGGTTTTGGTTTGGTACAATATCTTGCATTGTCTTTCCAATTTCCTGTTTGAAACATCAATTTGACATACTGCTTTTAGGACTTTTCTTTCTGATTATCAAAATCTTTTTCTTTTGTCAAAAAGGGCTCTTATAAATGAAAGCTTTGGCTTTCAAAGCTACTATTCCTGTTATGGGTTTGAAAGTCCCATGATTATTTTAAAAAGAAATGATATCAGTAATAAATTTCACTGGAAAAAGTGGGAAGGTAACAACATAAAAAATGAAGGAAACCATAATACCAAACCTACTTCCATTGAGTCAAATCTGACTCATAACAACCCTATTGGACAGAGTAGAACTGCCCCATAGAGTTTCAAAGGCTGTAAATCTTTCTGGAAGCAGACTGCCTTCATCTTTCTCCTGTTAAGTGGTTGGTGGGTTCAAACAGCTGACATTTTAACTAGCATTCAAATGCTTTAACCACTATGCCACCAGAGTTCCTTATAATACTAATAATAACCTAAAATATTAAATATTGCTACACAAAAAGAGGGAGCTCTGCTAACATAGTGCCTAAGGCACTTGACTGCTAACCAGAAGGCTGGCGGTTCAAACCTACCAGCCACTCCTCGGAAGGAAGATGGGGCAATCTACTGCTGTAGTGATACTGCCTTGGAAACCCAAGGAGGGGTTGCTATGAGTCAGGTCCAACTTGACAGGACATAACAACAACAACAACACAACAATTTCTTAGTTCTTCAGGGACACTTTTAAGAATATTATTCTGGGTAATGGGTTAAGGGCCGTGAAGTACCTCCTGAATATCTGCAGGAAGGAGAGGAAAAGGCTGAAATGAAGTAAAGGATCCAGTTGACACACCTCCTTCTCTGTCGTAAAGGATGCTGAAGGGAATCTTTACATAGAATTATTTCCCTCAATACATAGAATATCTTCCCCACTACTCATACATTTCTATAAAAACTACTTTCTACCTAGAGTTGATCACTTGTTCTAGAATGAACTCTGCTCTTTCCCAGCACTGAGACTCTCATAAGCACAGAAAACATGTTATATCATCTATTGTAGGTAAAATAAAACTTGATTACAAAAGTGGTAATCTTCTCCAACTTGAGTGAGAACAGATACCACCTGAGGAGTTTTGTAAAGAAAATAGAAACCTGGCCTTCATTCCCTGAATTTCTCATTTGGTAGATCAGGATTAGGGCCAAAGAAAATCAATTATAACAAGCATTCCTGAAGATTCTAATATAAATGCTACTTGGAACATACTACATTATTATTTATTTGTTGTGATTTGCATGAAAGTTCAGAAGCACTATGTTAAGTATGCTTAAAGTGAGATACCTAGTTATCTAAAGACTTTTGAGTTTTTGATTTCCAAGTAAGGAGAAAAAAAAAAACAGAAGGGAGAAGTGAAGAGCAATGAAAGATTATCTCATATTCTCAATTCTATTCTGTGGCAATCATTGAGGCAATAGACATCTTGGCTATGCATGTTATTTTGTATTTTGTATGCATGTATGCATGTATCTCGTATTTTTAAAAGTCATTAATGAGACCATTTGCATTTTTCAAGAAAATTTTCTAACTTATAAGGACAAAGTGTCTCTAAGGAATATGTGACTAATATATTTTTTTTCTTTTTCCTTTTACACTTGGTTGTTTTCATTTGTTCAAAATGTCAAGACATATTTATTAATTACATTATTTCTTCACCTTTTCCTTTTGACCAACCTTCATGATCCATTGAATTGCTCGACACTAACAATGATTATGCCTTTATATTTTCATCTGATTTATCAGACTACTTCTGCACATACATAACAAAAAACAACAACTCACTGCTGTCAAGTCAGATCCAACTCATAGCAACTGCTCCTTGGGTTTCTGAGGCAGTACCACTACAGAAGTAGATTGCCAAGCCTTCCTTCTAAGGAGTGTCTGGTGGGTTTGAACTGCCAGCCTTCTTGTTAGCAGTTAAGTGCCTTAAGCACTACAATATGTGCTAATACTCCTCGAATGAGCTTATTTACGTTCTTTCTGAATTCCCTTATTTTGGGTTCATATGACTTATTTATCCCAATCTTCACTTGTGTGTGTGCTATTTATCTTTTTATACTAGTTTCTTCATAAATATTTACAGGGATAGCTTCAAAGTGAAAAAGAAAAAAAAATGACCTTGACACATCTACCTTCATGATTCCAATAGAGAGAATATAAAGGACATGTAACCCATGAATCAAATTGATGCACCTGAAACAATTCTTATCATAGTCAGGAGGAGTGTGAATTCATTTATTCAATTACCCTAGGTAATTCTTTCATTGTATATAAGATGTTATTAATATGTTCCCAAGTTCTGGAGAAGCTCTGATTTTTGATGTGCTCATCTTATTGAAAATTAATTTAAGAGAATCATTATTTTAAACATAATTCACCAGAATTTCTAATTACATATATTCTGCTTTTTTCCTCCTTTTAAAAACCATTAAATGATTTCTATTGAAACAAAGTTCTTTAGAAGAGAAATTGAGCATTGTCTGAGATGCCAACATCTACTCAGGTTTATAAAATTATTTAATTATTTTAAGGTTATATATATACATGGGGGCTCTGGTAGTGTAGTGACTAAGGCACTTGATTGCTAATCAGAAGTCTGGTGGTTCAAATCCACCAGCCACTCCTCAGAAGGAAGGTTGGGCAATCTACTTTTGTAGTGATACTGCCTTGGAAACCCAAACAAGGGTTGCTATG